TGTTAAAATACTTTCAAAAAACCTTCAGTTGTGAAGTTTCATAAATGCCAGTCATCTAGGATTTCAGAATTAGAAGGCATCTGTAATATGCACGAATATGCCTATTCTGCCAAAGACTTACTTAGGAAGACAGTCTAGTCATACAAAGATTATGATTTCAAAAAAGATTCAAGTTCTTCTGGATTTTTTCCTCATTATTAGAGATAAGGGAGAAGTTAGTAGCATGGATACATTTGAAAAATAGAAATAACGGCTTGGTTTGTAAAATAAATTGATATAAATAAGACTTCAGAAGAAAGTTCCCTGTCCCCAAAAGTGTCTACAATGTTTTAGACACTTGGAAACCATCCGTGGAATGTCAGGGCTCTCCTGAACACAATTTTGGATGGAACACAGAGGAAAAATAGCTGGAGACAGGAAATTCATTCTGATAGATCTATAGTCTCTGGAATGAGTTCTAAGGAATCCTCACCCCAACTGCCTATTTACCAGCTTTCATAACTGGCTGTTCTAAGTTGGGAAAATCCTTTTATCAGAATGCTGATACAATATCAGTGTGCTGAACAAATCAGATTGACCAGGTAGTTTGCAGGCCTGAAAGGTTTCCAGGAAGGAACCACCCTTGTAGGTTGTCTGTAGCACTCAGGTCTGTCTGATATGCAGTAACTCTTTGGTGGATCTCAGCTTTTGCTTTCTCTAGGGTTTGCTGAGGTAGCAAAGAGTGGCTAGAAAGGCTACAGTGACATAGTTCAGCTGAGATTTTTCCATTTTGATGCAGAGTCATCAAGAAGAATTAGTGCAGCTAATGGGCCTTCAGAAAATAGAGCCAATAAGAGAGTTGGCAAACATACACTCTTACCTCCAGTGGGGTCATTCCTGTTTCCATGTGAATTAGAACATTTGGGATGCAACATGGGACCTGGAAGAGTGCTCATAAAAACTTAGATTGAACAGCATCCAGAGGCTTTTAATCATTGTAGATACATATCTGTGGGCTGTGCAGCATTTAGGATATAGATTTAGCTTTGAGCAGCTTAATGGCAGCAGGTATGCATCTTACCACCCTTAAAGTAAAATAAGCCCAGGATTGCCTTGGCACTATTATTGGCTTTGACAGAAATGACTCTAGCTTCTTCCTGCCACCTTCTAGGTGTTTGAAAATTTGCTGCAAGATGTTTAAAAGCTGGAACTTGTTATATTTTGTTGCAGGTAATTCACATTTAGTAACTGCAGTTGGTTCCAGCAAAATGGTCACTAAGCAGCATGGTCACTAAGTGAACCATGTGACAGAGAGAGAGACTGCAGAGATTGCTGGTTGCTGCCATCTCATTCAGACAAATTCTCTCATGCAGTGTCCCATGCCTGACCCATTTTTTCACCCTTTTTTTGCCCCCTCATAGGGTGGAGAGACAAGTTACCTCTTCCTGAGCTGCTTTTCTCCCCAGCACAGTGCTTCCCTAAAAAGTGCTCATGGCAAGTTAACAAGCTCAGCTCTGCAACCTTAATTAGTTGATTAGAACAAGGCCAGCTGGCAGCTGCTGCCTGAAACTGATCAGACCTTAATCATTTTCACACTGAAGGCTTTTGTTGTCCTAAATGCATGCATTGGTCATAAAATGACTTTTTATTACCATTTATTACTGTCATATTTGCAAATGGTCACTCTCCAAGGCAGTTGCTAAATAAGGACTACCTGTAATTCCTGTTTGCCATTGATGTTTATGGCGACTAGGTTTTCCTGAGAAAACCATAGTCTTGGAGTAAATAATTGTAAGCCCGTCCTCCTTGCAGAATTCTGCTAAGGCCCACAAACTTCTGTGTAAGCAAGAGCATTGATGTGTCATCGGCATACAGCAGTATTGCCAAATGTCTGTCCTTGAGCTTGGGGGGGGGGAATGTTTTTTTTGGTAAGAGCAGCAAGCACTGAATTTGTATAGATATTAAACTTAATTTTGGATTAGTATTTTTGTACAAATGCTTTTTAAAAGCATTTAAAAATGAAGAGAATAGAAAGGCAGACACAAATGCAGGTATAATCATTATCTTCCTAACAAATGTGAATTTTGATGATGTTTAAATATCAAGCTATTGGGAAAGGAGTTTAATTGGGTGGTCCCCCTGTTTTCCAAATGTTTGCTTAGGGGTCTCTGCAGAAAGTTTGAGAGACACTGGTGTAAACCAACAGGGTGTTGCCTAAATATGATTCCTCCAACTGGGTGCAGTAGATGGGCAGTGAATACTGCTGCTTCATCGTTTCCATCCTGTCCTTGTGTCATTGACAAGGCTATATTTTGTTAGAATGTTCTGACTTCAATTTAGGATTCTTCTGTTAATTTACATCTTTGAAGTAAACTGTTACATACCAGTAAGATGGGGACAAGTATATTCACTTTCTATCACACAATATGCGGTGAAGGTGGCGTATGTCCTTGAGTTTTCTAGTGCTTCAAGCTGACAATAAAATCGTGAAAGGACTATGACAATCCATTATGACAATTGTTTGAACATATTGCAGCATTGCAAAGTTTTGGTTTAGTGTGAGGACAGATAATTTTATTTAATAATAGCTGAATATTTTTATGATATGCTCTATTAAATATGAGTACATCTACATCTGACCTTGGATTGATAGAGAAAGTAATAGCCATTTTGAGAAATGATGTAAAACATGAACATTTAATAACTTCCAAGAATGAGAAAATGTCATTTGGTAAGTTTAACAAGAGAACTGTAGTGTTTTGGATTCAGTCTTGTCAAAGAGCTCACAATCCTGGGAAAGAAAGTGCTGTATAGCCTAATTAGCAAGCAACTATTACAATTGGTTCAATCAGGAACCAACACCACCAATCAGGATTGGGCACAAACAAAGAACCAATCAGAGACCAGACCTCACCAACCTGTACCAATTGGAAGCCAGTTCAACTAAAGGTCAATCAGAACTCAGGACACCTGGCTATAGAGGGAGGAGCCCAGTCAGTCCTGTTGAGTTGCCTGTGCAGTAGATCCTTTTGCCTGTGAAGATGCCAGTCACAGTTGCTAGCAAAATGTCAGGAAATCTGTTCTCTAGACCACAGTCACTAATCCCTGAAGCCATTACATATTTGCTTTCCAAATGGATCCAGAGAAGAAAATACTCATAACAGGTCTTATTCTAATTGTAGCATCACCAATGCTTGTATAATAGGTTGCAGTGCTGCATCTTTGAAACAGATATTTGATGCTTAGTGAATAAGAGAGAACACTACTGGGAGAAATCCACTAGGGATATGCCTTCTGTATTAGAAGCAGGGCTAAGTATTAGAACTATTGACTATTTCCTTAAAAAATATATATTATTTTTTTCCCTTGAATCCTGGGATCTACTAATTAAAGCCTGGTGCAAAAGAAACTCTAACTTTTGGGATTCTAAACCCAGGAAGTGTGTGAAGCTCCACATTCTCACACATCGCAGTTTAATCCTGGATACTGATTCTAAACCCAGGAAGTGTGTGAAGCTCCACATTCTCACACATCGCAGTTTAATCCTGGATACTGATTCTAAACCCAGGAAGTGTGTGAAGCTCCACATTCTCACACATCGCAGTTTAATCCTGGATACTGATTCTAAACCCAGGAAGTGTGTGAAGCTCCACATTCTCACACATCGCAGTTTAATCCTGGATACTCCACTTTCTTCCTTTCAGTCATGTAATTTGGTGATAGTGATGGGGAGTTGTTTTGTTACTACCACCATTAAACAACTGGAGAAATTCTTTCTAATTTATTATAAATCACCAAGATGCCTACTTATCCAGATAAGCCTCTGCTTGCTGCTGCTTCCATATGTTCCAACACCATTCTGTTAATGGTATATTTTCTGTATGGGATATCCAGCCAAGCCTACTGAAAAAATGATTAGTAAAGTGAAGAGCCATACTCATTTGTTTTTCTATATATTAATAAACATCAATGTTTTCTCAGTTCTTACCTCATCCACAGAGAAAAATCACCTTCAAAAAGTGGCATCAATTGAGTTTGTGTCTTCGTTTCCAAGTAATATGGGTCTATGTTTTTGTTTTATAACCTATTCAACTTTCTGTAGTTTTGATAGTCTTAAAATAATGAAGTTATGAATAGTTGCTCTTTTAAGTGTAATTTGCATAATGGTTTTGTTAATTCCTGGTTGTATTCATTAAGTACTGACCTGTAAACCATTAAAATATTCAGGTTAATCAACAAGCACATGAAGGTAAAAAATAGTATTTTGCATATCACATGATGGTTCTGTGCACATGCAGAGCTTTTTGTGACCCTAGATTACATCTGTAGTTTCTGAATACAAGTTTACTTCCCTCCCCCCGCCCCGCCTCCATATTTCTTTTCTTTTCTTTATCTTATTTGCTTTGCCTCTGGTAGAACAGAGCAACAGTTAAAAAAACCTGAAAAGCTCAGTATAAACATAAAAAGTATTGCAAAACAGGTTTATGTAGACTGTGTATTATGGACTACCTAAAAATTATTTTCAGGGGATGAATTAAACCAATATAGATGAGTCAGTAGTGCCAGAGGAGGACAAAATTACAACTGGCAAATACTTCGTATAATTGCCCTGTAGAGGAAATTTTGTAGAAGACAAACTTAGATGTAGCCAACAAACAATAACTAAAAGTTCAGAGTGAAAAATTAGGAACCAAAAGGGACTTATAAACAGAAAAGTCAGTATTGCTGTGTAATATACAATTAACTGTTTTGAAAGAAGCTGGGTCTGACATTTTAAAAGGTGATTTAATCCTGTTACATAGATATATAAAAAGAAACTTGAATGCAGTGTTTGTTTATCTTCATATTCTCATATTGGGATAGTGAATGTTAAGAATAGGATTTCCTTGTGTTAGTGAGTAAAATCACGCCAAGTAAAATATACATGTTATTTTGAAGGCAATTTCAGAATGTACCTGTTGACAATCAGGTGGGACATTTAACACAGACATAGGTGCAAGTGATTGTTTTCTTTTATGCAGTATGAACCAAGAGGACCTGGCAGGCCATTGTACCAAAGAAGAATGTCATCTAGTTCAACCCAGGCTTGTTCTGAAGGTTTAAATACTCCTCCAGATAATCTTGGACAGTGTCAAGAGCTTCAGGACCAGAGTAACCCATCCGCTTTCAATTATTCACCCCCTGAATGGTGGGTCAACTCTACTTCATCAGCCCCATATCAGAACATTCCATGCAATGGATCCAACAGAGCAATCCCACCAAGAGAACAGTTAGGTGAGTGTGTGGCACTTTCTTGTCCTTTTAAACCAACTCACATGACTTAGATTAATATTTCCCTTCCTCTGCATCCATACCTTGCAGATTTTTTATCTGTTACTCCCAGTACAACATCACAAACACCGTACACTATCAATTTGACTTTCCCAGGATAGTCTGCCAATTATTCACTGAGATATTTTTAAAAAGGCAGTGACATAAACAGACTTCTACTCTCCCCCCACTAATTGACGAGCTGATTTAGTCAAACCTTTGCTGAATCAAGATTTAAGATACTGATTTGTGAATTAACTCTGGTTTGACCAAACAGCTCTTTTCCATATTCAGATATAAGAGGAAAGCACAATTTCTTCAGCTGTGCTCCGTATAGATTTTTTTTCTTTTCTAAATAGTACTGTAGATGGCAGATAACATTTTGAAAAGAGCATAAAGAACTGAAATAATAGCTTTTGCTTGCCTTACGATAATCTGAACAAAGCTACATAGGAGCAAGAAAGCTTATGTATCTTCCATAGGGATTTTTTCCTCAGCTGGTGGAAATTTTAATCATGAATTTTCATTTTAAGCTGAAACAACAAAGAGGACTTTTGAACCAGTAGATTGAATTCCAAATGAGACTGAAATTTTACAAAACTCATTTGAGACATTGAATGTCATCTTCTTAAGTGGTTGCTGCCTTCTGAAATTTCATCACCTTGGGTTTTAAAAATAGAATGAGTGATCATTCAGATTGTTATTGCCTTCTGGTAAATTTCTAGTCCTTAAATCATTGTTCTCAACAGATTTGGCAAGTTTGTATTTTATTTATTAAATTTATATACTACCCATCTTTCCCAGAGGGTGACTCTAGGCAACTCACAATTAAAATCTAAAACAGTAAAAACAATAAAAACATAAATATCCATATTAAAATTAATAACAATTCTATATAAAAATACTATATACAATTCAAGATGATGGGGGGAGCAGGATCAATCATCACACCAGCCAATTCCAACAATGTGAGCCCCCATCAGGCCCCCAGGCCATCTGGCATAGCCATGTTTTCACGCTTTTTCAGAAGGCCAGGAGAATGGGGGCGGCCCACACCTCAGGTGGCAAGCTGTTCCACAGGGCAGAGGCCAGGGCAGAAAAGGCCCTCTTCCTAGACCCTGCCAGCTGAAATTCCTTGACTGATAGGGTCCACAACATGCCCCTTCTGCTGGACCAAGTGGGGTGGGCGGATATAACAGGTGAGGCTCCTCAGATAACCTGGTCCTGTGCCATCAAGGGCTCTAAAGGTAATAACCAACACCTTGAATTGGACTGAGAAGCAAACTGGCAACCAATGCAGCTTGCGTAACAGAGGAGTTATACATGCCATCCTAGGGGCATTCAGAACTGTCTGTGCTGCTGCATTCCTTCAAAAAGAGCAGCATTATGTAGAGGAGCATTTTATTTTTTTCTAAACCAGCCATGGCTTCCTTTAACACCTTCTTGCACTTAATGGGCCATATTTTAAGGGAGCTATTAGTATAAAGAAGGGAGCTTAAGGCTGCAACCTTTTACTCGAATATAATTCAATATGAGTCAGTCAGACTGCAAGATATGTTTCAGAGTAGTTCTTCACCCTTAAACAATACATCCCCATATTGTCAGGGATTTTCTTTCCAAGGTTTGGGGCCTTTCCATGGGGAGATGTTGTTTGTGTCACAAAGCCCACAAAGGTCTGAAAGAGATGCTGTGATTCCTTGTATGCTCGTTCTGATTGTGCATGGTTAGAGTACACCAACAATATGTTTTTAACCTTGACCTTAAAGTACAGTTTATTTGTAAAGTATTTTGGCTGCCTTTATAAAACCAATTGAAGAACAATTTTAATTGGTTTTATAAAGATAGTCAAAATCCTTTCAAATTAAAATGTCTTACAGGACTGGAAGCAGTTGACAAATTCCTGCAGACTTTATTTAGCTTTTAAGTAATGCTCCTTTTACGGCTTCTGGAAGGGAAACCCGAGAAGTAGCTTTCCAGTCTGTTTGTGACCATCATTAAGTTAAAATGGCGATGATGATGATGATGTTCTTTTTTTTTTAGTTCCTCCGAAGACTATCAAATCCCCCGAGGAACAGATGAAGGTTGAAAACATCCCATTGTCCAGTTCTTTTAACTACAGTGTGCTCCAACATCTTGGCCAGTTCCCACCCCTCATGCCCAACAAGCAGATTGTGGAGTCCAGCAGCAACAGCCAGCCCAGTGCTGGGTTGAACAAACCTGCCATGTCCTACGCAAGTGCTCTGAGGGCTCCTCCAAAGCCCAGACCCCCTCCAGAGCAGGCAAAAAAGAATAGCGACCCCTTGTCTCTGTTTCAGGAACTTAGCCTAGGTAGTTCATCAGGTAGCAATGGCTTCTACTCCTATTTTAAATAATCAGACTATTTTTGTAGAGACATTTTAATTTTTATTTCTGTGAGTAGATTTAAGATAGCTGGGGCTGCTCCTGCAGGCACCATCGTTTCTCTTTGTTTATACTAGTAAATATATCTTGGTTTAATGGCTTTGCTGCTAGACTTGAAGCTAATTCTTTTTAAATTATATTCCACTATTTTACTTTCTTTTTGATGTGGGTCAGAAGTTTGGAAAAAATCCCTAGAAAAAAACTTTTAAAAATTATGTAACTTTATCTATGTGTTGCATTAAAGCTAGCAGCTGAAAAGTTAACTGTGCAACTTTAAAAAATATATAAACATTTTAAAAAAAAGTTGTCTAAATTGTATTTAAAAATGTAAGTAGCATTTACATTTATTCAATAACATTTAGCATACTGTGCTGGGTTTCTGTACCAGAAATGGCCAGTTAATGTACAAATGTATGTTATGTCTGCTTAAATTGTTTATTTTTTTTTTTAAATAAAGATGCAGCATCTTATATTTACATCCAGTTTTATCAGCTTTCTGTGAAGGGATGCTGCATTCTAAGACTTTTATAGTTTTAGAATCTGTACAATGTGGTAATAGTAATTTCCTTTGTAGGACGAAGTGAAGGCCTTTGCTGCAGACCCAGATACCACTCCTTTGCGATTAAACAAAAAAATAGTGATCAACCTAAAGATGAAAAATACATGTTTTATTTTTGGACAAGCTACTCATTCAGCTTGTTGGAGGGATTAATTTAATAGGTTTTTAAACAGAAATCATGAAACGATAAAAATTGCTACATTGGGTGCTTGGTAGTTTAATAGCTATTTAAAAAATCCAATTGAGTAAATTTAAGAAAAAGAATTGGATCCCCCTCCCAACTATGCACGTTAAATGCTTGTAATCTGGTTTCTTCCCCTCTGACTTTTCTAGTGGCTTTAAGGGTTTTTCTTTTTCTTTTTTTCAGTAAAATATTTTGGTACCTTATTTGATGTTTACAGTAAATGTGAAATTATCCACAAATATTCAAATATTTTGCTAACTGTTTTGTTTGAGGAACATCATTAAAGAAGATTTTTATGTTTGCCAAAGCTGTATCCAAATTAATCCCAGCCTTGGGGAGAAGAATTGTGGGGAAGGTGTGGGGAAGCAATATGAATGACGTGGTTGTTTATATTCTTGTATCTTCTGCCAAGGCCTTTGGCCACTATATATTGAAAGAAAAATCTATACAAGACTGTACAGCAATATGTTACAAAATTTGGGGGGGAAATAGGGTAATATTTACCTTCAAGGTTTTGGTCTTGTACACTGTTCATACTTTTGAAAGAAATCTTTTTTAACTTCAACAGAGGCATGTCCTTCTTTACACTTGAAAAGATCTCTTTGATCAGGGACATTAATTTTTTATCAACTATTTATTTTAAGTTCCCACTATAAGACACACAAGTAACATTTTCAAAAACACAATAAGTTTTAAAGTTTCTTCCCATAACTGTTGAAAACGGGGCTTGCTTTACTGGGATGTGTGTTTTTGTTTTGTTGGGCTACTGTATTTGCTGCTGTATTGAATCTAATGTTTGCTTTTGTTTCGGTCCCTTCATTCCTGTTGGATTTTATACATTGTGATGGTGAAATCTCAGTTTGACTGAAATCAGTGTCACTTTTCTTGCTGATTTCAGATAATTAAGGAACTTTCTATAAAAGATATGCATACTAACTTAATGTGCTGCAATATTTTAATAGCTGCTGGGTTCAGAAATGGGTAAAGCTAAATAAAGCTGTTATAAAACCAAACAGAATGAAAGCAGAAGATTCTGCTCAGTTTTGTTTAGCACCCTGAGGACACATTCAGGGTGTTAGCATTCAGTTAGTCAGCTCATGCTGTCCTCAGGTTATATAAACCAGGATTTTATTAGTCCCACTTAAATATCTGAAGTTATTTCTGTTGATTCTCAGTCCTGCCCTGATTACTACTGATAAAAATTGTTGAGGACAATTTGACCTAATGAAGAATTCTTAGTAGCATGTAGAAAGCTATAGTCGTGGTTTGCTTATAGCTCAAATACATTCACTTTCAATCTAGCACTCTAACTTCAGAGATTTCAAATTCTCACACTTAATAGTCTTACTATTCTGTTCACCTGGTCTGAAACTTAAACCAATCAACACTGCTTGGTCAATTACTTTGATCTGTGAGTTAGTGAAGTTAGGAAGAAGGTGTAGTCTTCAGTCTGTTTAATCTATATCATAGCTTTTCTCAAGAGTTAATGTGGAGTTAATAGGTTATAGATTGCAATAAGATGTGGCATATATGCGGATCCCCAGGAAGGTGGTTTCTGAATTTTCTATCACCAAATACATCAGTATTGTGGTGTTAGCAATTTCAAAAAAAAAGAGTTTTGCAAGTGCACAAAAGCTCCATGTTTTCGCAATTCAGTTCCCATTTACATTGGATCATAGAAAAATTCTTATATTCTGTGTTCAGACTGCTGGTTTGTTATGCTAATATTGGAGAAATTTTACTTTAAAAGCAGATCACAACATTCTCACTGACTTTAGGCATGATGGACCTTGATTTTTCAGATCAGTGAATTATACCATTACAGTAATAAAAGGCATACATGTAATCAATTATTGTAACATCTGATTATCCTGATTATTAAGAACATATTGTTGGAGCTATTCTATATTTACGTCTCTGATTCTTATTCAAATTATATACTTTTTATAAATCCCTCTTTTCTCCCACTTCAAAGAAGGTTTTCTTCATTATTTCATTTCACAATTACTTTATCACTGTGGGAACAAACAACTACTTTAGGAGCATGTCATATATCACACAGAATGTTAGAATAGATTAGTAAAGTTAAAAAATGTAATTCTCTTATACTTGGTACTACATAAAGAAAAAAGCTGCTAAAGTTTGATATATGAACCATGTTGGTTGACATTACAATTGAAAAGCTAGTTAGAATAATAAGTACATTTCTTCTAGATGAAGGATTCATTTTGCAGGAAGTATCCAGTCCTGTAAATTCAGAAATACGAAACTGAAAACTGCTTACTATGACTTGAAGCTTAAAGTTAAATGGTTCTTGAAGACAACTTCTCAGCATTTATTTGTAACTCTGAATTCTCAACCTTCTGGGTGTGGGTGTGTAGGTTCCATGTTCAGAAGTTATTTTATTTATTAGCTGTTGATGTTATAATCCTTGGCTGTATCTGAGGGTACATCTGATACCCATTCCAGTCAATCTACTCTCAGTGACTTTGGGTCTATTTTCCAGCGTAAAGAGGACCTATGGTTTACTTATAAAATTTCAGTAAAATAGAAAGAGTCGTGTTTTGAAATGTCACCGATTGAGAGTCCCAGCAGATGGCCATTCTCTATGGCTTCTACTTTATATGAAAGGGCATTTTTAAAAGGCCCACACCGTGCACTGCAGGCATGGGAGCATTCCTGCCTGTTCCTTAGGGGATCCCAGCCTCAGCTCCTGAGCGCATGTGTGTCTATTCAGCCTGAAGTGTCGTGATAAGTACTTGCTGGGGATGACAGAGCAGAAGCACACAGGGGTTCCCAGGATAATCATGCCATTTTAATTTTAGTTGTTTGCTACACCTAAGCCTGTCTTTCAGAGCTGTGTGAAAAGTGACCCTGAGTTATAAAGCTTCAAAATTAAAGGCAAAGAGTATTTAGAATGTCAGTGAGCAGAGAAAATGTCTGCGTTGAATAAAATGTCATAGGTTTGAGAACATACTTATCGTATGTTCTCATGAATAAGTCAAGAGTTTTAGGTGTCAAAATACAGCCCCAAAATTGGGTTTGGTTTATCCACAGATGGTCTTATCTGCAAGTATATATGGTAATACTTTTTAAAAGCACCTGAACGTCCCATATATACTTGCAGATAAGCCCACCTGTGGGTAAGCTGACCCTCAAATTTTTAATCAAATATATTGAAAAATGGATAATCTGTGGATTACCCATGGATAAGCCAACTGTGAAAATTAAAACATGAAAATTTTGAGGTTTTGCTTATCTGCAAATGGTGTGTTTTTCATGGTGTTTTGGTTAAAAATTTGAGTGTCGGCTTATCCGCGGATGGGTTTATACGTGAGTATATATAGTATTTCAGGAATACTCATCCAAGCCAGCTTCTGTTTAAAAAAAAAACAAAACTTGAATTTTCAAGGGCACAGGGGCAGGCAATAGTTTTGTAAAATAGAATTGCCCTTGGTTTTGCCCACTGAGGACCATAGTGTTTAAAGTGGAAACATCACCAGAGGCAGGTTTCTCACCTCTCCCTCCCTCCCTGTTTTGTGTGTGTGTGTGTTCAAAGTACATTAAGTCTATCAATTCCTTAAACCATTCTTTTTATTTTATTTATTTCCAGTGGAGATTGTTCCATCATTCAGCTGCTGGGGCGGGGGAATTACAAGAAAAGGTCCTAGGGTTTGCATGTCCATGGATAGCCACCTCTGCTCTAAGCAGATGATCAGTGTTAACCATCAGCCAAACTAAGTTTATTGCACCTAAGCTGCAGGAGCTAGTATGGCTTGATACATTTGTCAGTATATGGAATTGCAATATTTGCTGAAGAAATCTATTCTCCCTGCAGATTTGCAGCTCGAGTCTTTGTACGGCTACAAATTCCTGATCCTGAAGACTCCAGAAATATTTTTAATTAAATAAAATGTGAATTTGTTACCCTTTGTGTTAACTGTTTTAATCCTAGTAGTGTATATGTAAGAAAGTGTGTCTGCATTTGAGACATGGTGAAAAAAACGTTACCAGGCACAGTGCTGCAGCGTTAGTAGAGTTACTTTGTAAGGTGATCCAAATGACAATTAATTAGGAAGGAAAAATGAGTATGGGTAGATTGGAGTAATATGTAACGAGAATGGTAAATTTGCCTCATATCCCATCCATACTAATGTAAATAGTATTATTTCCACTAATAATTAATTATATCAATATCAATAATAAATAATAAATAATGTAATGATATTAATTAATAATTAATAGTATTAAGTCCTGCTTACTCTTCCTGTCTAAATAGGCCTTTTGTTTATTGTCTCATGCAAGTCTGAATATTGTGTTTTTATTCTATTTGGCTTTGCTGCGGGTATTTACCACCCTTATTGGGACACTACATTAATTACCTACTTAACTATCCATGTTTGTGTAGAAAAGAGCTACTTCTAGACCAAGGTATAATCACATCACATTTGCTCATGCTGAAAGACACTGTGGTGTAACACCACGTGGCATATTAGCATAAATCTATTTGCATCTTTTTAAAGCAACATTTTCCCCCTCCCCAAACTCCCCCTGCTCTTTACCCCTTTGCAGTCTGTCACTGTTGAGTGTCCAGGGATATTTCACTGAGTCCCCAGTGTATTTGACATGTTTACCTCAGATTAAATAGAGGTCGATGTCAATTAGTGCCATTGATGAATCCCACAAAATGGTCCCATGATTCGAATTCACACTATTCAAAGTGATATTTCTATGGAAAATACGGTAATTGGTTCCAGCGTGAAGGAAATAGGCAATGAAAAAATTTAAACATAAATGTTTATAGTTGTATTAATGGAATATTACAGTAAAGGATAAAAATATAATTTATGGTTAACAGAGTCATGGAGTAATTTTACAAAGCAAAATAAAAGCAAAACAAATTCTACTGGAGATTCAAGGCATTCCAAAATCTTGTCTTATTTTATCATTGTTACGACCACGTTTATGTTCAATTACATCAGATTTTTGCTCTATTATTTGTAATAATAAGCCTCTTCTTTTTTAAACTTGTACTGTTTTCCTCTGACGGAATCTTCCTTTTCTCCACTTGGCACACATGAAGATTAGCAGCATCTAAAACCGCAACAGCATGCACTCACCTTGCATTAACTGAATTTTAGGTTGCATTAAATGCAACCTGGCATCAATTTACAATTTGCACTAAATCGAATATCGTATTATTCAAACTCTCACGAATTGCAACCTACCTGTATAACAATAAACCTTAGTCAACATGTGCAGTTTCTTCAGTGTCAGCCTTTACACAGACTGCACTTACTCATTTCTGTTAAACCAGAAATATGATGTTTGTTAAACACACCAGAGAGGCTTGGGTCGATATTCAGTACTAAGCCATGATGGGTAGGCTCGCACTTCACAACAGATCAAAAGCAAACAAATCATACAACTACTAAACTGGTGTTTCTCAACCTTGGCAACTTTCAGATGGGTGGACTTCAACTCCCAGAATTCCCCAGCC